ATGTCACCTGCAGTGAAAACAAGCGTGTTAAATGGCTATGTAGATCCTGTGTCGTTATATACATGTGAATCATGGACAATAAGCAGGTGAGCTGAAAGGCATTAACTTGTGGCAGAGGTGTGGTTTCTGAGGAGAATGCACAGAATGTCAAGGAAGGTTAGAAAAACAAACGAAGTAGTCATCATTGAGACAGATGAAAGTTGTAAACTTATTAGAACAATTTGATGTAGACAGACAGACAGACAATATTTTAGACATGTTGTGAGAAGGAATGGTCTCCAGAACTTGGTAACAACGGGCAAGACTGATGGAAAGAGAGCAAGAGGAAGGCAAAGGGAAAAATACCTGGATGACGTGGCCAGATGAATGGGGTGAGACAAAAACCTTCAACTGATCCATGATTCTGGTGATCATCTGAGATGGTGAAACATGACAGCGTAGGCTTACCGGCCTGGCATATAATAACAATGATGAACTGGAACATCAGAACTGGAACCCTGCACTGGCTGCTGTAGATAGGGATGGAGCAATTATGTGCATGCCCCAAGAATTTTGATGTCAGTCTTAACTTTATTCAATAATGATAATGTACCACAGAGTAAACAAACAGAAAAATGACAAACTGGTCTGGCCTTCCATTATTTATTGAATATATACAAGGCATTTCCACTGACATTATATATACAAAGTTACATTTACATACTTATGCTATGATGTTACTGAACTCAAGAAACCATGTAACTATCTACATGAAACTCACAAGCAATTATGTTACCTTGCAGCTGAGCCTTGAAGCCTACTTACACCAGCTTCCTGATACAATGAATTTCTAACCAAATTTCCATTAAACTGAATTTTACCACAATTCTATAATTATATTCATTTCATAGCAGATTTCACAATATAGTTGAAATAGGCAGCATCATATTTCAGTTAAATGAATTTCCCAAAATGATGCAATTTGTAACAACATTTTCCAGTCAGAAATAATTGCACAATGCATTCCAAAAATAATTAAGTCCAAAAGATATAATATTTATAATTCTACAAAATAATCCAAGTGTAAAGAATTTGACAATATACCTGTAACAATAATTTTGCCACATGGAATTCAACACCATACCTGTTCATGACATTCTTACAGTTAAATATTCATCACAACAATATTTACACACAATTTTTATTGCAAGAAATTAACACCATATCTACTACACTAGAAACTACACAGTTGTTCTACTACAATTACATTACAGCACAGCCTTACTAATTATAAACTTCCTACTAAATTGCGATTTAAATTAATTTGTTTACCGCGTTTCCAGTGCCATAAATTGCACACCATATTCTTATTGAGCTCTTTCTGCTGCAAGAAGCGCATCATATCTGCTTAACTTACATCTGTGCATTTCAAGACAAAGCATGGCGTGTTATTACTTATTTCATGTTTGGTCTGAGTATGCACAAAAAATCTGGCCAAATTTTTTTAATGCAGCCCAGAATATATAGTATAACTAAAAAGTCCTACGTGGTTGCCCTTTTCAATGAGATAAATTGAGTTTCTATTTTGAAAACCATCTGGGATTTAAAGATAATGCTAGAATTATATTTGACATTCAGCAATCACCACTCAGTGGGCGATGTAGTCAACATCACACTGGCCATCTTTACTTCACATGCTTTTTGCTGTTAGGCCAAGGTAACTGTTTTTTTCTCTTTCCAAATCTGTCATGATGTGGATTCAAACCCAAGATTTTCAGGCAGGCAAGTGGGTGTCTATCGCTGCTCTTTTATTTAAATTTCCATTATACTGAAACTGACAGCCTGTTTCCATTATACTCAGTCTGACCAACATAGTCCTATCTTCGTAAATCTAAAAAGGTAAAGTCGGGAGATGTGAACCAGCGTCATTGCACACGGTTATAAACCATAAGTGCTCTGCCAACAGTACGGACAGCTGATAAGAATTGTCCGCCTTTGCCGCCGTTCACACTTAACTCTGTTGCTACAGCGACGTTCTTCCATTTACCCCAGAGTATCACTCTTCCTAAATCTGACACTACAGTATTACTGCAACCCTATTGCCCCAAAAACACTCAATCCAGCCACTTCTGATTGTGATCCAATCCCATAAATGCTGATACATAGTTATGACTGCAGTGAAATACTGCTTTTATGACCCCAATGTCACTTTTTTTAAAGCCAAGTTAATGTCAAATTTTTCCTGTAAGCCTCAGTGACATAGGTCAAAGGGTTACGGCATGAGTCACCAGATACATTTTTTAGGCCCCGGGGAATGTATTCCATTTACTGCTTCCCTCTGTTTATGCTGCCTGATTACCTCTTTATACATCTTTTATATTTAAAAAGAAAATACAAATGTAAATGAACACATTTTAAAAACATTTATTGGTAATCACTGTAATTGATTGTATTTATGAAGATTCTGTAATAGGAATTCCTATGGGTTAAAGACTCGTTTCCATTAGCACTCATCGTTGAATGGGTTAATGAATTTGACAATAAGAGTCAATATTTATGAATCTAGCTCTAAATTCTTAGTTTAACAAATGTGATACCATATTCTCATTTTACTGAATCTGAGACCCTATGCTCGTATAAAAAAAATATCTAGCTGCTGAAATCTGAAATTAATTGGGTGCCGGTAGAAACGAGGGCATGAGAGATAAGTCAACATGGTAAATGCAACCAGACTGTTACAAAAACCACAGCTGAAAGAGACTGAACACCTATACAGATTGCTTATAGTGTAGTGATGATCACAACAAGTAATGTAAAATGAAACTGAAATGCTGACAACACATTTCAACAAATGCAAGGGAAAGATTATAGGAAACAAAACTTTACATTCACTTTTTATTAACAAGTCATACCAAAACAAGATTCTTAGTGTCCTTGAAATCATGAGTAAACATTTGTATTAACTCTTTTTCTGTGTCCTTGGAATCACGAGTAATTAACTCCTTCAGCAGTATGAAATCATCATCATGAATTTACTGGGTAAGGTAAAGACATGCACATTTATTAATCTTTTACTGCTGATAGCTTTTACATTAACTCATAACTAAATTGGTAATTTACCCACTGTTTTTTTTTTTCAACTTCTTTAGACTGATTTTATTTTATTCAAGAACCGACATCACAGCACTTAGGACATTCCCATAAGCGCTCCATCCCCATCTTCAGCAGTCAGCAAAGAGTTCCGATACTAATGGTTTCTTTAGACTGAGAAATTGGCCAACTTAACCAAGAGCTTCTAGTAATAGAAAGAGTTAAAGTAATTCCCAAATGGCACCAAAAGTGTTAATTCTTGTTACTGTTTATACATGCTCAGTGTTTTATTCGATTACTTCAAATATTTGGACAAATAGAGTATCTCACGAGTGCCTAGAGATAGCTAAAGAAGAACACGATTCTACGCTGCTATCAGATAACAACAAACAGCTTTTTTGGTCATTCTATAAGATGAGATACCCTGGTACCACCTGCCACATAGAGCCATGGTGAAGAAATATGATGAACAAAGAGCAAGGGAAAGCTCATGCAAAACATGGAATGATGAAATCAAGAACAGATTTTAAGAAATAGAGATCAAATTATATAATGCATCGGAAAGATCACACAGAAGACCCTCTCCCTTAACACTTTGATGACGCAACTGAAAAAGGAGGGAAGGAGAAAGAGTAAGAAGAAGACGAAGAAAAAGACTAAGTTTTCTAAGAATGTTTTTTATTAACAAACTGTTTAATAAACATCTTTGCTGAAAACTGTCGGTGTCTGTGGCTTAGGCGTTGTGAACGCACTTCGTAATGCCGGCCTGCCAGGTTTGATCCAAGCTGTGGGCCTTGCATTGGTTTTGACAGTGGTATTGAAAAGAGGAACGTCCAGAAAGCAATAGCAACTACTGGACATAAATTTGCCTAGAAAAATCACAACAGATAAAAGAAATGCTGGGGTTGGTTCTGCAATGTCCTGTAAACGATACACAAACTAACTTTAACTAACTGACAAATCAGCAAGCATTCTGATGTGAGAACTAAAAATAGTGAATTCTCAACATTTTCAGAGATATCAAGCAATAAGAAAGAAAATACAAAACAAAAATTAAAATGTCTGCATGTTACAATATTTGGTCAGGTTTCTGTAGTATGTTTAGTGAACATTTAAACCATACAATAGCACACCGCACATCCGTAGCGACATAAGGGTAACAGCTAAACATTCACATGGTGTGCACTGCTTGGGTCTAAGAGAGTTCAACAACTTCAATTTTTGACACTATACATTTTGGGGGGGGGGGGGGGGGGGGGGGGGGGGGGGGGGGGGGGGGGGGGGTATTTGTAAATGGGAAATGATAAAATGTCACAGACAACACTGCAGTGCTGTGAGACAGGTCTTGTGCCGACAAGAAAGAAATGAACTCTCAACATAACAAATAAATAACAATAACAACTGTATCATCTTCACAGTGGAGGTTGGCTGCTATGTTTTCACCGCCAACTATGGGAATATTTTTACATCAGTGAGGCCTTACTCTCTTCCACAGTGTGACTCTCATACCACTGAAAACCATGAGCACAGCCTTTTTTTCTAAAACCACCCACCATGGGAAACAAATCCTGGCAAACATGACGACTACATTGTGAAATTCTTTCTCTAACCTCTGACTCACAAGCAATGCTATAAATACAGGCCAAAAAGGATAACCACTTATGCTACGTCTGGCTATGTTGAAATAGATAAAATGACAATAATTCAAAATGAATAATGATGTGACCAAAACAAAACACAAAAAACAAGTAATTAATACGAAGTAGAAACAAATTAAAACCTGAACTAATTCTGAGGGTTTTTATCTAGCCATTGAGATTCTAACTAGTATCTGGCAAATGTGCTGTTGCTTTCTTTCTTCTTCTGACATCATTTAACACCCACATGCCAAGTTGGACACCTGCAAAATCTGAGCCAAAGCGAACGTTTTATCATTGAGCATACTTTTGTGTCCATTCCCTGGCTGTTTTGTAGTATTTGTCACGATCTGTCTTGTAAACACGAGCAATGTCTGGCACCAGAGGGTCATCAGGATTTGGATCTGTGAGCAGGGAGCAGATGGAGAGAAGGACTGGAAAAAAAAAAAAAGACGAAAATGTCAGACATAGTAACAAAAGTCAGTATTTATACAACCCCATTTTCAAGCTAATGTTGCCGAATCTATCTGAAGACATTATTGAATTCAGTCAATATTTTCAAATGTGGGTGGTTGAGGCAATGATCATGCAGATTATATAGCAGACAAGGCGGTTACAATGACTTACGGCACTGGACAGGAAGAATGTCATAATGGTCATGCAAGATGCATATTCCAAAGATGACTGGACTATGACAAGAAGCGGTAATCCGTATCCTTGTTCTGACCGGTGGATATGGGAGTGCAACATGAAGCAAACAAAAATGAACATGGTTTTACTAAGGGCGCAAGACATCTGATTAACCAGCAGAGAATGTGCATGATAAGTCGCTTTATGCTTGTAGAGGGAGAGACGTAGCAGGCCTATGCATCCGTCCAGAGTGCTGTGATGATAGTCCTCACTAATCACCTTCTTCTTTCATGCCAGGCTGTATGCTGCTGGTAGTCATGTCTAACCCCAACCTTCTGTCATGTGTACTTTTAATCAATGTGTCTGCTTTAGATGATCTTTCATGCCAGGCTGTATGCTGCTGGTAGTCATGTCTAACCCCAACCTTCTGTCATGTGTACTTTTAATCAATGTGTCTGCTTTAGATGATCTTTCATGCCATGCTGTATGCTGTTGGTAGTCATGTCTAACCCCAACCTTCTGTCACGTGTACTTTTAATCAATGTGTCTGCTTTAGATGATCTTTCATGCCAGGCTGTATGCTGCTGGTAGTCATGTCTAACCCCAACCTTCTGTCACGTGTAATCAATGTGTCTGCTTGAGATGATCTTTCATGCCAGGCTGTATGCTGTTGGTAGTCATGTCTAACCCCAACCTTCTGTCACATGTAATCATTGTGTCTGCTTTAGATGATCTTTCATGCCAGGCTGTATGCTGCTGGTAGTCATGTCTAACCCCAACCTTCTGTCACGTGTAATCAATGTGTCTGCTTGAGATGATCTTTCATGCCAGGCTGTCAAACTGTCCAGCATCTTCTCTCTTGGTAATCACCATGTAAAAACTCATCAGACAATTACAAACAACAAGCAACTCAAGTCCAGCCCTTTACAGACTTCTTCATGAAATGACAGTTTGAATTTTACCGCAACAGTTGTTATGTGATGAAGCTTGTTCGCGCAGTGACCAGGAGCCACAGTCATAAGTTAACCCTTTCTCCCAAGTGATCTAAAAAAAAAATAATGCCACTTACCCATAATGAGGGATTCCCCCCCCCCCCCCCCCACACACACACACAAAACTTGGACAAAAATAACACTTGCCCCAGGTCACACACAAAAATTATAAAAATCCCATTTATAGATCCAAAAAAATATTAAATCCCATACGGAATACAGGAAGTCATCAGTAAACATGAATGCAGCAGAATGCAGCAGAGAATTAACCAAGTCACATTTCTGGCAGCCCAAAAATAAATTGTTAGGATGACTTAAATTTTTTTTTTTAAACATATGACATGATCCCTGGTTAACAATTTAACCAACAGGAAAGGTTATGACATCATAATTCCTATTAATGAAGCCATTTTCGCAGGAAAACCTCTCTTAATGCCATTTTTAGTGAAATTCTTCTTCTTTGCATTCACCAGCTGTAAATCAGGCAGAATGTTCTGGATGTTTGACCACTTCTGGACTTTGGTCTAGTTCGGGAACTTGAGATGTGCGTGCACATCAGTTGAACAGATCTGGTCTATTTGTTAATTTTTCACCTCTCAGGTAGATGCATTTCAACTTCAAAGGAAACACGCCTACTTTTAGGACACGCTTGTTAGGAGGGCAGTAGGTTCATTCTTGTTCTCCCTAAAATGAAGCCCCAGGAAGCACATGGGGATAGTGAAAATCAACTAAATGAAAGAAGAAAAAGAAAAAAACCTTTTGAAATGGTCAGCGCAGGTGACCATTGTGACCGCAGGATGTCCAGGCAAATACTGCCATTACTGTTGATGTTTGGGTGATAAATTCTTGTTGTGAAGGCAACCTGGCAACAGAAATAATATTTGTAAAGTAAGGTTTTGACACAGGAAATTTAAATAATAAAAACAAAACAATATATGTACAATTGAGTGTCTGATGTTATTTCACAGCATCTCAACAGGCATATACATCAACGTATACAAGTAAGGGTGAAGAATCATTCTCACACCAGTGATGTATCTGGAAAATAATCCTAAACAAACTGATACTTAGTGGGTTATGCAATTAACATTATGCCAACTGCCTTTACTTCCCAGGAATTTTGTCTGACACCCAGTCAACTTGGATGGAAGTCAAGGTTATTTTTATGGAGAACAAGAAATTTGATTTGATGCAGAATTGAACAAACGACCTGAAGCTGGCAAGTGACCGTCTAGCCGCAATGCCACCATGACTCACCATCAACATAAAATTAAGTCACAAGTGAATTTTTTCAACTAAAATCAACAACGCTATAGTCCATTGTTACAGTTTAACACAGTAGTCTTAAGCAGCCCAGCTTGTCCTCCTTTTGTTTAACATGAGATTGGCTGTATCCAGTATCATGCCTTGTTGAGTCCAGAAGATGGCAGGAAGAAATTGGCTCTGTTCTATTGATTGATTTCACCTCATTTCTTCCCTGTGTGGGTTCTAAAGTCCGGGGAAAGGGAGCGGAGAGGGTAATCCCCCCTTCCCCCCACGCTCCCAACTAGCATGTCATAACACGACCGGCTCCAGCTGAAGGGCCGTGCTGCTAACCTCACCGGGTCGGGCTAACGATGCAATAACGCAGCGTTTCTCAAACTGGGTACCGAGTCGCCCTGGGGTGCTGTGAGCGTATGCCAGGCGTGCCACGGCAATAATCAAGAAAAGTTGGCTAAAAATTGTGAAATTATTAAAGAAGGCATGTAGATACTTAAAAAGTTAAAATTTAAGTTGTCTTCCCTTGCCACTGTAATAGTTTATTTCTTGTTTGACAACCGCTGTGTTAACGCGTCGTTAGCCCGACATGGTGACGTCCGCAGCACGGCCCGTCAGCTGAAGCCGGTCGTGGTCATAAACACAATTAGTTTCTTTCAAAGTTGGAGTACATCTGCCCGAAAGATGAAGAAGCAACAGTCTGCATACAAATAAGCCAGATCTGTAAAACAGATGTGCACAGTTAACTCAAGTTCTGGAGTAAGACCAAAGTACAGAAGTGGAGGAACAACCAAAACTTTCTGCTGGAGTTTACAGCCAGTGAAAACAGAGAGAAAAAGAACTAAAATAAACATCTTGGTAGTCCATTGATTGCCTGTCACGTTGGTAGTCTTAGACAAACCAGCATGACCGTGTGCACACGATGAGATAAACAACAGAAATTTGCCTAGTAAACCCCCAACAGCTAATAAATGATAGGGACAGGTTAGCAATGTCTGGTAAAGAATTGCAACAAAGGAGAGTATGTTTATCTTCTGCATGTAGTCCATGCTGTGTGGCGCTGGTATCAAGGTCTATCCACAGCCTTCTGTCTTGTACATTTTCCCAGCATTTCCTTCACATCACGATGTACGTCAGGTTTCCTTCTTCTTATGGTATAACCAAAGCAAGTCTCCTTCGGATGCGGGCTCTTAATTCCCTTCAGAGTTAATTTATTTCAAGTGAGCATACTTTGGATCTTTTCTCCAGGCTATGACCGTGTAATGGGTAATGAACAGGCAGACAAATTGGCTGGATCTGCACCACTGGGTGGTGAATTCACACGTGACAAAGCAGATGTGGTCAAGGCCCTTTGGGAATAAGTAACGGAATCAGTAGAGAAACAAGAATATTATGGCCTGGAGAGAATGAGGTACCTGGGTGTAACCAGAGGGTCTGGCCGGCTCACTACAATCAGAGAAAAGGCAAGACGGACATATAACCAGATTATGACCAGTACCATCAGTATTGGAGCTCTGAGCTGGCTGATGAAGATGAGGACGGAGCATGCATGGGAATACCCCGAGTGCTGTGATGTCAATTCTTGACTCAACTCAACTTATTTCAAGGCATCATCCATTCAGTCCATTAGGGCTCATATCCCCTCCAGTAAATTCTGCAGTGTGCAGCGGTTGACGACACTGGTTCTGTGTGGGTTTCTTAATCTTCTCTGGCTCCTTGCATAGTGCTCTTGTCTGGCCAATCTCCTTTTAACATGCGGTTTTTGCAGAGTCTGGTCATGGCTGCAGATTCAAAACCATCACTTGATTCTCGCAAAAGTTTTACTTTTCGAAGAGCACTCAGTATATCAGCCTAGTCCATGTCTCGTCTGCCCTTCACAGTAGCTTAACCTGCAAGCCTATCAGCTTGCTCATTTCCTTGCACGTCTGCATGCCCTGGCACAAATATGAAACTGATATATGTCAGCCCGACTGCTTCAGAGACTCTAACCACTGTCTTCGAACCCAGCTTATCTGCATCTTCCTAAGCAAGTTCCGAGAAAGTATGCATGGATAAAGGTCTGTGTCTCCAGCTATGTTATGGCTGTGTTAATGTAACATAAAAAGCTTACTGCCGACTCTTACCTTTGGCGGCTTGAATGGGTAGTCAGTGGGGAAATTGATTGTCAAGAAGAACACGCCCTGGGAATATGGACTGTCATTCTGTGAAGTTTTCAAAGAGAAAAGGGATATTCATGACAACTGATAAAATGATAATACAGAATCAACAAATGAAATAGGACAACTTTCCTATAAACAAAAAGGATTCTTTTCCCGCCAGAAGTACATGAGGTAGGCAGTAGTACATGAGGTAGGCAGTAGTACATGAGATATATGATGCTAGACTCATAGGTTTGTAGACCAATCGCCACTTGATGGGTGATGTTGGTCAAGATCGCACCAGTCACCTTTACTTCCCAGGATATTGCCTGATACACATTTTAGGTCGGCTCGACCTGGACCAAGGTCACTTTTGAAAAAAAATGTGATTCTACCTTGGGGCTGGCAGACAAGCGTTTCTAAATGCATCAAGTGAATCAAACAGTTTTCTCTAGGAGCTGGGTTTGCTGCTTACTGACCAGCAACAACTTAACGCTTGTAGAAGAAATATGACCCGCCTGGGCTTAAGCTCAACCAATTCATATCTGCTGAGAGAAATCAGTGCTTGGATACATTCTAATATGTTTCTTTGTTGGAATTATTTTTTATTTTCCGGATGTTTTATTTATTTTTTTAAATAAAAATGGTAAAGAATCTGGATGCATTGCCTTCATAAATAAGGTTGTGTCAGCGCAGTGGCTAACCTTTACCACAGGCCTGATGATCACATACTTACATTCCCCCTGTTAGGATTTTAAAAAATGTATATTGAACTGGCGTCCCAGATCAATCCAATCTAAAATGGATGCCAGAAATATCCCAGTAAGTAAAAGTGGCCAGATTTTTGCCCCTATCAGTCTAGTGCCAACTGGTCTATAATGAGGGATCTTTACTATTCTCTGCTGTGTTAGCAGTGGATCCATCTGAAGTCTGCTTCAACAAACAGGTTTTCAGCTCTCCATAACAAGGGCAATTAAAGACTTGCGTGCAGGGGTGATATTTTCAATTCACCTGTATTTTCACTAACGAGCAACACTAATGCTCCGTTTGTGAACTCATATTTGCTATTCTATCTCCAGTCTTTGATATGATCAGTGGCACTGTGAGCAGTTAGCAGGGGTCGGGCAGACGATTAACACTCAAGGAAAAGGCGGGGTGGATATACAATCAGACAGTTACCGGTACCATTGGAACTGAAACTCTTCACTTGCTGCTAAAGATGGGGACAGAATGCTTATGGGAGAGTCCAGAGTGCTGTGATGCCGATTCTCAATTTAACATACTCTGATTCAATGTTACTTCTTTGTTTTATTAAGTTTTTAATCAAATCTTCTCCTTGATAACAATTCTTCCTAAAGTCTGAGAAAATCAGCCCAAGAGGCAGGGAATAAGAACTGCACAATAAGCCAGTAAAAGGGATGTACAGGTAACGTAACACTCAGGTTCTGTTACAAAGCAAAAGTCCAAATGGACGAACAACCAGGACTTTCTGTCAGAATTTACAGGCTGTGAACACAAAGAAGAACAATACTAATTCACACACACACACACACATATATACACATATATATATGTTTTTGCCTAGCTTTGCCCTGGATAGCGAATGAAAGTCTCCCGTCCTCTACCTCATCTTGGTCGCCACGGCCACTCTATGTGTAGGCCCAGTGGAAACAGGGGTCTAACTAAAACTGTATATTTAATACCCTGTCAACTTTAACGTTGTCTCCAGCACTGTTGTATCTTCAGTCATTGCACCTAAGTGCATTTGAGGTGACTAACAACAGTATTCAACAATTTGGGAGATAGCACATGTACTGTCTCACACACATACATACGACATGCTTGTTATGGGGGTGCTGGCTCTAGTCTTTGTTCTAAAAATTGAAACCCTGGAACCTACAAAGGGAGGGGGGCAGGTAATGTGGACTCTGAAAATATTTACCAGTTTCCAACTGTGTGTATAGGGGCTAGTAACATATTCGATTTGTTGTGAAAGATGGTTACACATTTAAGCTGCAAAGTACACTATAGAATGGAATGGAGGAACGAACGAACAAACTTTATTTTTAAAGGGTTAAGAATTGGGCACGCAGGCCCGTCTAACATTCTGCCCATCGAGGTCTCCCTCCATTCTTACATCATTTCATGTGCGACACATAGATGGCACATTAGGATGATGATTTTATCAAACTAGGTGGAATTTGAGGCTTTACCACAGAATACTAGACATGTTCTACAGACACGCTCTCTACATGCAGTAGAGAGATAACAGGTTTGGCATTCCAAGGAAACCAAGCTATATGGAGCGGTGGAAGACACGTGCCTCACGACAGACTTTTGATAGACGTCTGTGGCATTTTATATGAAAACCACTGACAGGGAGAATGAAAATAAAAAGAAGATTCAATGTCATAGGCGTCTGTCTTGTGATTATCTCTTTATGGATATGACTGCGTTAATTAATACTCATGGGCGTGTCTACATCTAACATTTTCCTTTGGTCTACCACTGAATCTCCCCCACCCTTTCCACACTTGCAATTGTATACACATATACTATAACATGTGGTATCTACAAGCGGTCACTCATTTAAGTCCTAACAACACTCCACAATGGTGACTGGATCAGAACTGGTATTTTCAATGTTACATTTCAACAAAGAGCCTAAAGAAACTTATTATTAACAGGAAACAAACATTATCTGGAAACAAACATTATCAGGAAATAAACATTATCTGGAAACAAACATTATCAGAAAACAAACATCATCTTAAAATAAACATTATCTGGAAACAAATATTATCTGGAAACAAACACTGTCATGAAACAAATGTTGTCATGAAACAAACTTTAGCATGAAACAAACATTAGCATGAAACAAACATTATCAGGAAACAAACATTATCTGGAAACAAACATTGTCAGAAAACAAACACTGTCATGAAACAAATGCTGTCATGAAACAAATCTTGTCATGAAACAAATGCTGTCATGAAACAAATGTTGTCATGAAACAAATCTTGTCATGAAACAAATGTTGTCATGAAACAAACATTATCTGGAAACAAACACTGTCAGGAAATAAACATTGTCAGAAAACAAACACTGCCATGAAACAACATTGTCAGAAAACAAACACTGCCATGAAACAACATTATCTGGAAACAAACACTGTCAGGAAATAAACATTGTCAAAAAACAAATACTGTCAGGAAACAAGCAGTGTCAGGAAACAAACACTGTCAGGAAACAAGCAGTGTCAGGAAACAAACATTATCTGGAAACAAACACTGTCATGAAACAAATGTTGTCATGAAACAAACATTAGCATGAAACAAACATTATCAGGAAACAAACACTGTCATGAAACAAACACTGTCAGGAAACAAATCTTGTCATGAAACAAATGTTGTCATGAAACAAACATTATCAAAAAACAAACACTGTCAGGAAACAAACATTGTCAGGAAACAAGCACTGTTAGGAAACAAACACTGTCAGGAAACAGCATTATCTGGAAAAAAAACACTGTCAGGAAATAAACATTGTCAAAAAACAAATACTGTCAGGAAACAAACATTGTCAGGAAACAAACATTGTCAGGAAACCAAACAGTGTCAGGAAACAAACACTGTCAGGAAACAAGCACTGTCAGGAAACAAACACTGTCAGGAAACAAACACTGTCAGGAAACAAACACTGTCAGGAAACAAGCAGTGTCAGGAAACAAACATTGTCAAAAAACAAACACTGTCAGGAAATAAGCAGTGTCAAAAAACAAATACTGTCAGGAAACAAACATTGTCAGGAAATAAACATTGTCAAAAAACAAACACTGTCAGGAAATAAGCACTGTCAGGAAACAAACACTGTCAGGAAACAAGCAGTGTCAGGAAACAAACACTGTCAGTAAACAAACATTATCAGGAAACAAACATAATCTGGAAACAAACACTGTCAGGAAATAAACATTGTCAGAAAACAAACACTGTCACGAAACTACATTATCTGGAAACAAACACTGTCAGGAAACAAACATTGTCAGGAAACAAACACTGTCAGGAAACAAACATTGTCAAAAAACAAACACTGTCAGGAAACAAACATTGTCAGGAAACAGACATTATCAGATTTCTTACTGGTCCTAAAATAGTTGCTTGCCACTGGAACACTGCAAAAGGAAGACAAGGAACAAACAGTGAACATCATTATCACATGTTATCTATCATATCAGTATTTTGCTCCACTTACAGCATCTGATGGAAACATGTTTTCAGTGTTTGACATTACCATGGTGGTCAGCATGTTATGTTGTGGTTTGCAGCTAGGCTGCAACAATCTGTGTTTTACAGCAAACACTTCTAATTCAGCAAATCCTTAATTATCCCTCTTTTTTAACATGCTCGTTAAGGGGAAGTGAGCAGGGCTTTTCTCTGACTGTGTGCCGTACCGGCAACTTTTTGTTTAAAAAAAAATTTTAACATTTTTTTTAAATTTTACATTATTTTCTTCAGAACTGCATTGGATGCTGAAGAAAAGAGCACAAATGGCAATGTCCCAACCTACACAACATGTTTATAACAAACAAATATAGACATAAGCACACAAAGCAGTTGGAAAAGATAGTGTGAGAACTACAATATCATTCAAACAATGTATTGTCCGTAAAAGAATCATATGCAGTGTGAAAATATAAAGAGAGACAATGAGAACTCATTTCTTATTCTTTGCATTTACCGGCTGTAACTCTATAGAAAAGTTCTGATTTTGCGTCCACCTCTGGACTTTACTCCATAACCTGAGTGTTGCGTGCACATCCATTTTACTGATCTTACTTATCTGTATGCAGACTGCTGGTTCCCTGCCTCTCAGGCAGAAGTTCTTTTGACTTTAAAGGAAGCTTCCAATTTGTCAACTCTAACTACAGGCCTTTTGGGGAGGCAGTAGATCTATTCTTGTTTACCACACAGTAGGGCCCTTGAACCCACACGGGGAAGAGCAATAACAATAGCAAAGAACCCTTTTCACACAAGTGGTGCATTGGGCATTTGAGGCTGACTAGCATTTTTTTTTTTAAAGACCAGTCGATCCGCACATGTGATGTCAACATCACACCGGTCACCTTTACTTTCCAGGACTCTACCTGGTATCTATTTTAGGCTGAGTAAAATGGAAGCCAAGTTTTTTTTAAATTTTGTTAAATCTGACTCAATGCCGAACTGAACCCACGACCTTCAGGCTGGAGTGTCTGGCTGCCAAACCACTCCCTAATATCTTCTTCTTTTTTTGTCTCACTGATACCAGGGCCAGTGTTGTGTTTTACTGTATCTGTCTTGCACTTCTCGGGTGGCTTGGATTATGGATCTGTTCATCTGTTTGCATATTTCAGCTACACCATTTATTCATCTCTTCCTTGGTCTTCCCCTCGCCTTCCTCCCAGATGTTCTGCTGTAAAAAGTATAATATGCAGGTTTCCCTAAAATAAGTTAAATACGTTAAAAAATGTTGACACACCCAAGACGAAAATACTAAAAGACGATTACGATATAAAGGACAGACCATAGCAAGTCATTTGTCTACACCTTAGAACAGGACACAATCGACTTCGCAGCCGCATGTACACACAATTTAAGATTGGTGAATGTGCTATATGTACATGTGGATTAGTACCTGTGACAACAGATAATGACCTCCAAGAATGTCCCAGGTACAACATATCAAGGCAAAACTTTGGCTAAGAGAAACACTGATGCCAGCCACACTTTACGGGTTGCTGAGTGAATTACAAAAGTCACTGAAGTTCATACTGGAGACAACATTGCAGAAATAGATAATCTATTTCACGTGAATTCAAGAAGAAGAAAATACTATGCTTACAGTCATCTCCAACTGGCCCTGCTGAGCAATTGGTTGGAGGGTCTTTGCCTAGATCTTGCAATTCCTGCAGGTAAAAAGATGAATAAACTTGTTCATTTCTTATCTGTGAACATAAAGTTTATTTAGAAAAGAAAGTATTTGGTAATGCTCTTAATTTTGTGGCTAAAACATGACAGTTAGGAAAACACTGGACAAGGCTGACTTTCTGAAGACCATTTTTGATTGAATGCTGGGTTCCTAGGTTTTACTGTGGGGAAAACAAAAATAGACACTGCCTCCCAAACAAACATGTCGTTGGAGTCAACTAATTGGGAGCTTCCTTTGAAGTCAGAGTACATCTGCCCAGCAGCAAGGAACAGAAGACTAAACAAAAATAAGCCAGTAAAAAGGATGTACATGCAGAACTCAGACCCTGGCACAATGCCAAAGTCCAAATGGACAAACAGCCACGACTTTCCGCTGGAGCTAACAGCCGGTGAACAAAGAAGAAGAATGCTAGCTGATGGAAGATATGATGTTAGATAAAGCAACTTGTGTAAAGTGGAATTAAATGTGGATCCAACAAGAAAGGAAATATTACAGCTAAAGTATGACGTGTGTACGACCAGTGTGCTACTGAAACAGTTAGCATCTACACCTTGAGACAACATCTGTAGGAGATGAAATATCAATGAGTATACTCAGCATGCTGTGTTGATTCTTTAGTCTATAATCACATCCTGATAGCTTGGAAATGAAGGCATACGACCACTCACCTTGGTGTTCATCTCTTTATCATGGAGCAGCACACAAGTGACATGGCCAGAACTGTAGCAGCAATTCAACAAAGGCAAACCAGAAAAGACTGAACTAGATCCTCCAACCGATGAACTCTTCTTCCATACACAATGTTAAAAAACATTACATATGAAGATTGGCCTTATAACCCATTTCATCAGTTCTGGATATGCCTAGTGGCACATGAGGCTTCAGAGAGGACTTTCCATGCTTTCCTGTCCTGTGCAATCTTCAGTGCAGTTTTCCATGTCAAAGATGCCGCACTCAGGTCACTTTCCATCGTTCGTCTCCATGTTGTTTTTGGGCGCCCCTGTTTTTTCTTTCATTCTGGTGTCCATGTGAGAGCTGTTTTGGCAGGTATATCAGAAGTCATTCTCATAACGTGGCCAAGCCATTTCCATCTTCTCTTGGTAATCATACTGTCTAAAGTTTCTTGGTTTGTGGCTTGAAGTAGTTTAGTGTTTGAGATTGTATCTGGCCAGAAAATTTTGATAAGTCTACGTAGACATGTGTGGTGGAAGGTAGACAGCTTGTGTGCATCCTTTTTGGTCATTCTCCAGCATTCCGCTCCATAAAGAAGAACTGGCAAAATGATGCTCTTGTAGAGTCGGAGTTTCGTTCCTCTGCAGTAATTGTTGGATTTCCAGATTTGCCTCATCCTTCCAAAAGCAGCTCTAGCCTTGTTCAGATGTGACTGTATGTCTTCCTCTGTCCCTCCCAGTAGGGACACCACACTGCCAAGTTATGTGAAATGTTCTACATTTTCAAGTGATTGGTTACTTATAGTCACTGTTTGTTGGTTTGGACTGTTTGTCATGATCTTAGTTTTCTTTGTATTTATTCTCAGTCCCACCATTTCTGCTGTGCTGTGTAGTCTGTTACTTTTTTCTTGTATGTGTTCATGTTTATGTGATAGGAGTGCTATATCATCTGCAAAATCAAGGTCCTCAAGCATGGTGAATGGAGTCCATCGTATGCCTCTTAATGTCCTGTCTACTGTGTTCTTTAGTATCCAATCAATCACAAGGTTGAAGAGGAGAGATGACATAACATATCCCTGTCTTACACCCGTCTTTACTGGGAAAGATGTAATTTTTTATACTGCAGGAAAAGTCTTTATAGAAGAGAGCAATTATGTTGACTATTTTTTCTGGAATTCCATAATGTCGTAAAATTTTCCACAGACCGTCTCTATGGGCGCTGTCAAAAGCTTTCTCAAAGTCCACAAAATTAATATATATACTTCTCTGCCATTCGTTGCATTGATTTATCACCCATTTACACAAACAGAAATGTTGTTGAATCTGCAACACTCAAAAAACTACAAGAATTTGATGTCAAAGGAGGTGTCCCCAAACTTGAACACTATACAGGTAGCCAAAGAAGAATAGTAAACAAACACATGACTGGTGTTATCAGTCGGCACACGCTGAAGATGGGATACCAGCACTTATGGACACGTCTGACGTGCAATGAGGATAATCTGTTGATTAACTAACATCCAGAAATCTTTCTGTACCACTAACAGATGATAACACTACACATCTTCATCATTGATGAATGAACAACACAAAATATAAACATCCAGTAAAAGCCCATTTATACGAATACCAAGGGACTGAAAAATCAAGAGTTCGTGTTGTTTTTTTTAAATGTGTGTACTAACAGATGTATTATGAATAATACATCCCGACTGGGACCAACACTTTCTTGATTTAACCACATTGTTAATTTACTTTAACCAAATCCTTTCCAAGGAGTTGAGCTTAAAAATGACACATTCTTATTTGTAAAGGAGTTTAAAAGAGGCACTGTGGGTCATAAGTGGTTCACCTAGTAGACACATGTAGTGCATTTCTGGTACTGAAAACGTTGAGCAAGTTCATGTTAACAGAGTTGTACTGTAATGACATACACTGTAATCTGTATGTTTTGTTACTGTAATAGAATGTCACTATACTATACTATAAGTGAATATAATCGTTGTCTGCTCTCTCTCTCTCTCTCTCTCTCTCTCTCTGACATTTAACATAATCAACACATTTCTCTTCTTCTTCACTGTCTGACTATGAACAGCATCTTAAATTGTAACTAGTCATTTAATTCTTTCACTCCTAACGAACATATACTAGCGACTACGGTGTTCGGCAATTGGCGGTCTTTTGGCAATTTCCGTTACCATGGAAACCGTTGGAAACTTGCTTCGCAAATGTCGGCTGGGGTTTCGGGATGGGTCCTAATCTCTCATGAAATTTTGTGGTTGGTGTGATTTTCACCCACTATAAAAAGCTGAAACGGCGGGAAGGAACCCGATTAACAGCGCATGTCTACGACATCCGGACGTCCTCTGTTTTTCTGTTACATCAGTTTGATTGAAAATAGCGATAAGTATTCAGGGTTGGCTTTAGGCTTTAACTGTTACTGTACCTGGTAATGCTAGTTATAATTGAATTCTCCGTCCAATTTTACATTTGTGTATAAAATTTCTTTCTGGTACGTGGCTAGGTAGATGTACAGTGACATTTTTCAGGCAATCGCTGGCTCAGCCAGTCTCATTGTCTGCCATCTTGTCCAATGCAAACAAAGCCAAAACAAAAGTTGCGCAGTTTGGTTGCGCAGAGAAAACTTCTTTTTCTGGGAGACAAGTTTTAGCAGCTGTTTTTTACATCTCATCTCCACAAAAACCTACATATCTCAGCTCAGAAATGACATACAAGCCTAAATGAGGTACCATTGGAAAGAGATTGTTTACAGCTATTTAACTGTGCTGGTTTTATTGGTGTAGAGGGCATTTTTAAAATTTGACTAAAGTACCTACATATACGTTCCCATGTTCTATCTAGAAGCTCAATGAACACAAGATGTTTCGATTTCACTTCTTTCTTTACTACCCCTTGGGAATCCCAAGCTAAACACTTGGGACTAAAAAAGCAACATATTTTCAAGATAATATAGTATCATCATAGATCCTGCATTTCCTTAACACTTTGAGTCCCAAGGAACGCATCATATGTTCATAGGTTCCTACCTAGAAACACAATAAACGCATGATGTGCCGATTTTATTACTTTCTTTACTACCCAATGGGCCTGTGATGCTAAACCCCCTGGGACTCAAAGAGTTAACCCCCCCCCCCCCCCCCCCCTCCTTTTCCTCTCCCAACAATGTGATGAAGTAAACGGAGGGAGAAAAGAAATTGAAACTGCTGAACTTCAATGAACTCATGTGAACTCAAATATGAAATAATTAATTCATTAGATTTTAATTACTAATAGCTCTGCTTGCGTAAAGGCGTGAATAAAGCTCCACTAGATTGAACTGTTCAAGATTCGTGCTGGTCTGAGAAATCTTTTAATAAACTGTAATTATGTAATAATTTCACTAACTACAACTGTTCAGTGTCCAATTTTTATTTAGACAGACAAATCGTAAATAATTTTTTTAACAAATTTACACTCTAACCAACTCAAACAATTAAACAACGCAGCAGCTTTCTAAAACTGAAATAAGATATGTTGAGAGCGGGCTCTAGAATACCTTCTTGATCCTCTTCTGTGCCATAGTGTGAAGAAAGAGAAGATCTTGTCCCTGAGCTGTCCCCAAGTGACGACGACCACCAGACCAGCCAGCAGCAGACGGGAAGTGCAGACACCACCAATGTCAACCTTGTCCTCTACGCATGCGCAGAAGGCTGCAGCAAGACGGATTTTTGTGGGTTTGGGTTAACTAGATTTGGGCGCGGGTGTGTAAGTCAATAGAAAGCCTTCTCTCTTTCAGTCCGCATAAGATATCCAAGGGGTGGTAAAGAGAGACTTAAAATCGGCGCATTTTGCGTTCACTGGGCTTCTAGGTAAAACATATACACGTATAAGGCGTGCCTTGGAAGTGAAAGTCAGATCTGTAAAACGGAGGTGCACGCAACACTCAGAGTCCAGAAGATGATGACAATAAGAACTTTCGGCCGGAGTTTACAGCCCGTGAATGCAAAGAAGAAGACGGAAAGTTTGCTACGGGGCGATGGATCTTCGTATACCTAGTCTTGGGAGTAGTCAGTCAGGTGTCGTCTTCACAGCAAAAGTTAGTACCAGGAAGGGAAATCTTCGTTTACTTTGTCTTGGTGTAGTCAACTGGGTGCCGTGTTCATACATAAGTTTGGATTTAGGAAGACGGATCTCCATGAATCTAGTCTGCGATCAGTCAATCCGTTGCAATCTTCACAGTAAAGGTTAGTTACAGGAGACGGATCGTGTACCTTACCTGGTGTGTGAAAACCAGGAAGGCACTGTCCACCGTGGAAAGGTTGGCTGTAGGAAGACGGATCTTCATTTTCCTGGCCTGGACGTAGTCAATCAGGTGTCATCTTCACAACGAGGGTTGGCTCAACTAAGTAAGATCTTCGTGTACCTGGTCTTCTGGGTAGATAACCAGGTACCGTTTTCACGAGGGAGGTTGGCGTCAGGAAGACGGATTTGTACCTCGTCTTCCTTGAAGTCTATTGGGTGCCGATTCCACACTGAATGTTGGTTGTATAAAAATGGGTCAGAATCTGGGTGTAGGCAGTCAGCTGTCGTCTTCACACACAAAATTGGCTGCAATGGTTCTCCGGAACTCTATCTCTGGTTGTACACTCTCAAACTACCGTTCATCTTTCTCTCGATTTATCTCCACCCACATTGTATAGTTGTCTCTGATTGAGTGAGTGAAGCTGAACCCCCCTAGGACCGCACATTGAGCGATTAGGCCTAACTCCCGGTGACGCAAAGTGCCATAAGGTACACCCCCCCCCCCCCAGCTACACATTACAGAACCCCCCCCCCCCCCCCTCACCCTTTCAGGTTATATTGGAGCCCCCGACGGTTACAAATTAACTTTAAATCCAGAAAGTGTAGGGTTATATCTCTAAAAACAAAACAAATAACTTTCTTTTTCTTCATCCCAAGCCTTCGCCATTTTACTTCAGTATGATTTTTATAAGAGTCTGATGCCTTTTAATGTGACCTGACAACTTCAGTTGTCTTTCTAACCTTTTTCAGCAGCTTTTTTTTTTCCATCTCTAGTCTGAAGTAGTCTGTACTTATAGTAAAATCAACCGGAACATAACCACTAGGTGTGGTACAGATCCACTAAATGTGCTGGAGACCACGACAAAGCACAGTATACTCAAGAAGTCATCACACTTGCATGAATGAAGCGGATCTACTGTCCAGGTCAGGATTGTGTGTGTAGGAATAAATCGCAGCTTTGCTGGCCTGTATAACTCTTGGGGCAACAATGAGGTTGAAGCAAAATGAGACAATTTACTGCCTTTTTAAGTAAGTGTCTGTCGCAAAATATAACACATAGAGATGCCCTATCATTACGAAATCAGGAATGTCATTTAGCACTAGCAGGAGAGAATGAGGTATTGGGCCTAGCAGATGCGAACAAAACAGGCTGGCGTTGCACCTCAAACACACTTTCGTATGTCTACTTCTAGTATGCAAGGATTAATTATGAGATAACTAAACAAATGAGGAGTTCATCAAGGAATACCTGTAACTTTAAGAATCCCGAATGATAAACCAATAGGGAAAGTCCTAGCTGTCCCGTTCAACCTACAGAGAAATTATTATTATAGTACCTATAACGGCTTTACCCAGTACTTCCCTACGTTGGTAAGAGGTCCATTAATTTCGCGCTTAAAAACACATTGTGTGGAATAATTAATGTGTTTAAGAGCTGTATCTACAGTTGCGCCGATAGTTTGAAAACATTTTTATTTGTGGCGGGTTTTACATTTTAAGTTCGTGTTTATTAGTTGTTATGGCTACAACAGCATGCGGTTTGAATATTGGTAGCACATGTACATGGTTTAGTAATGTTGTCTGCAGCCACAACCGAACACAAATCTCTACCGCTTCCTGAAGTTACTGCATTTCCGTCCCATTGTTCAGCCCCGGACAACATGAAGGTTGACACCCTGAGATTAAACAATCTTAGTCTGAATGGCTATGCCAATCTCATTATTTTATGCATGTGGTAGTTGAGCCTGCAGTGTCCTGTTCTTAGACGGAAAATGATTGTATGTTGCTTTCTGTTGAGTCTGCTGATGGGGTTTTGTGGATGTTGGTTTGTTATCTCCACAATTCCTTATATTCTTCCTTGATAAGCGTTTTGATTTCTGGTAATGACAGTGAATGAGTGTGCTGTTTCTCATGTGTTCCATTTTTTAAAAGTCTGTCCGCCAACTCTCTCCTGTATGCCGCAGTGAGTCGGAATCCACTGGAGAACGATTTGTTTTCTGATAGTGTTTTGCTAGCAGGTCAGTTCTCTCTCCATGTTGTCTCGTTGATCCTGTTGAGTCGCCAGGAGAACTGACATGCAGTCACACAGGAAAAAATATTTTTGCTGTTTTTTTAATTTTTCTTTCCTGAAGTACTTTGGTTGTATCTATAACTGCTTGCTAGTCTAAAGTTTGTAGTTTTCCGGAGGTACATGATGTTTCCACTGTAGTCCCATCTTGCAGCATGATGACCGAACCAGCTCCTCCTTTTTTTTGGATCATTCCCCACGTCGAAGGATCTTTAGAATAGGATGTCACTGCTGCGTTGTACAATTTTGACAGATGGTGAAAGCTTTGTCTTTTTAGTGAAGTTGTCTGCTATTCTATGCATGGGGTTATTGTTCATGCGTTTAAATATTTCTGTTAGAGTAAAAACCTTTTCTTCCCTTCGATGGCTCAAGCTCTGGAGGCAAGAAGTTGCTCCAGCTCACTAATTGGTGTGCGTCTATACGAGTGTTCTGTATTTTGTGGTTTGTTTAGATTTGATTTGGCAGAGTTGAGTATGTTCCCATTCAGTTAGTTTTGGTCATACGTATCCTGTGTATACTTGTTGTTCTGTGTCGGCATCAGCACCCTAACTTGTATGAGTATATCTCTTCATAAGTCTGAGCCGCAGGGTAGCTTTCCTTTGGGAGTCTTCAATCTGGGGGTCCTGGTAAATATGTTGTAGAATTTTACTCCCAAATATTTGGGGTTTTCCTCTTTTGGAAGGATGTTTCCTTTTAGGTACAGATCCCCCCGTGTGGGTTCCGGGGCCCCACTATGGGAAAAACAAGAATAGACCCACTGCCTACCCAAAAGCATGTCGTAAGAGTCGACTAATTGGGAGCTTCCTTCGAAGTCGGAGTGCATCTGCCTGAGAGGCAAGGAACCAACAGTCTGCATACAGATCTGTTAAACGGATGCACACGCAACACTCAGGTTCTGGAACAGGACTGCAGTCCAGAAGTGGACGAACAACCAGAACTTTCCGCCAGAGTTCACAGCCGGTGAACGCGAAGAAAAAGAACAAAGAAGAAGGTACAGATTAACTTGTTCTAGCTCGCTGGAAAAAGAAAAACAGTCAAGACAGGTTTGGTCTGGTTTATTGTGGTTATCATTCAGTCAGCTGACATGATCTGCTTGTCTACACTCCGTCCAGCCTGCTCAGACATGGATAAAACATACACAGATGTATGCAGCACAAGTATATAATTATTATACATATTTTATTATCTTCATTAGTTTTTGGTTGAGCCATCACTACAAAACGATCTTTGGAAAAGGAAACAACAAAACCATGAACCCAAGTCTGGCAGTATACTTCTGCTTCGACCAAGATATACTACATCATTCTACAAATGTTGAATTAAGAATCCACATCATAGCACTCGGGACACTCCCATAAGTGCTCCATCCTTATCTTCAGCAGCATGCAGAGTTCTATTTCTGATGGTACCAGTAAATGTCTGATTGTACATCTGTCTTACCTTTCCCTTGAATGCTGAAGGTCAGCCAGATCCCCTAGTAACTTCCTGCCATTCTCCTCAGACCATAATGATCTATTTGTGCCTCTGAACTGTTCATTCACTCTCAAAGGGCCCTTACATTTAGCTCTTCATTCATAAATTCACCATCAAGTGTCAATCTATCTGCTCGCTTGCTTCCCAACACACCAGCATGAAAATATCCAAAGGACGCTAAGTACCCAGGCCCAGGACCTCTACGCGACGCTTGCCACTCTGCATGGAGCATGCCTGTCTCCACCTTTCTCAGCATGCTCTGTGAGTCAGTTACAATTACAACATGTGTGTACATCACTGTATGGGAAAAGCTCAATTCCCTTATATGGTCCTACATTTCTGCTGCAAGCTTTTGATAAAGGACTACTGCAATGTAAACATATTTAGTTATGTTGATAAGGTTAGTTGCGTATCCTTTACAGGACGTTGCAGAACCAACCCCAGCAGCCCCTGTCTGTTGTGTGGTTTCTCTAGGCAAATTTACGTCCAGTAGTTTGTCATTGCTTTCTGGGCGGTCAGCCCCCTGATACCACTGTCGAAACCAATGCAAGGCACATGGCCCGCAGCTGGGATCGAACCCGGCACCAGGAAGCGTTCGCATCGACTTAGCCACAGAGCCGACTATGTTGATAAGACACTGAATAATTTCATGAACTAAACCACAATCAAATCAAATACAATCAAATCAAATCAACCACAATCAAATCAAATCAACCACAATCAAATCAAATTACCAC